TAGTACAATAGTATTTGTCATTGTATTGAGATGCCGTGTACGCGACAGTGGTGTACCATAATGCATGCAATAATAAGTTGCAATTTCACGCTTGAAATCGAGCTGAGACAGATTTTTTGTGCCGCGTTGCAATTGCCAAGCATTGTTCAGTGCTACATCGATGAGCCAAGTAAATATTGACGACCACCACTTTTTACCGCGATAGCCAATTCGATGGTTGCTCACATTTTGATTGCGATCAACACCAGCCATATATTTGTTGTATTCTGCTACAGCGCATGGACGAATCACATTTATTTTTTTCCAGCATCTTTTGAATAACGTGCCGCTGTTGATGTTGGCAAAGATCCAAAACACGTCGAAGCGATGGAAACAACCGAATTGTCGACCCATTGTGTCACTCGAATGCCCGTCTCTTGCATTTTGACGGCCTCAATAGTGCCGCGTGGTTTCTTCTTGAACGCCTTTTTTTTCGTTACTGGACAACTTGCAACGATCCGATTTTGTCGCATTGTGCCTGTGCCATTGTATCCACTGGCTTTCAGATAAGCAAGCATTGGAAAACTAGTGAACAAATTATCAAAGAAGAATGAAAACGGCAAACCTTTCAAGTATTCTGGGAAGTCGTCGATCATTGATAAAAGCGGTGCCGCTGCTTTTCCAAATCTCTCTTCGTACTTTGGATTTGATCGCGGGTTTGAGCCTTGGTAAACTTCGAAGTTTACCAAATAACCAGACGGTGTGCACAGAGACCACACTTTATAGCCAAAACGAATGGGCTTGCCTTTAATAAATTGCTTGCAGCCATGTTTCCCAAAATAAGCGATCATGCTTTCGTCATACGAAAGGTGTTGTGTTGGATGGAAATGTTTCAGAAAATTCGCTTTCAAATGATCCATCATCGGACGCAGCTTCCAAAGCTTATCCTTGTTATTTTCTGGTGGATGCAAGTTCGGCTCAAAATGTAGCACTCGGAGTATTTCTTGGAATCTGTTGCGTCGCATCGTCTGGGATATCATTTCATTGCGTAAATCATCTGCGCTATTCCAGTATGCTTTGATATTCGAAACCGTATTATATCTAGTCACCATTAGAATGCCAATGAAAGCACGCAATTCTGCAACCCTAATGTTGACTTGCTTGTTCAAATGTAACACGGCATATCGTTCTGAGCAATCACAAATATGTTGCAGCAATTCATCGTCAAAAAAGCGTTCAAATAGCTCATGAGATTGTACATCACGGCAATCATCGAAATTCGGTTCAGGAAAAACTGGAATGGGAGCACTATCTTTCCATCTTCATCTGGCGGTTCAATATAAATTTCATCAAAATCTTGCATGAAGTCATCTCCTTCTTCTTCGTCGATTAGCTTTTCCAAATAGTCGACGGCCTCTTTCAATGTAAATTTTCTGTTTGAAATGTAAAAAGAACAAGCATATGCATGAGAAAATGCGCGATTTTTTTTTTCATTCGCCGAAACACGGTCCCGAGAAGTCCCAGCGCTACCATATGGTATCACATCAATCGAAAGGTCTCTCACGTCAAGAAAACATTTTCAATGCACATAAAACTTATTATTTTCTTAAAATTTAAGACTCTACCTTTCGATTGATATCATTTTTATTGAATTCCGTCGAAAAATATTGAAAATATATACAAACTTACCTCGACATGTCCGCGAAAATCGATTTTTTTCGACTGTCAGAATTTTTTTTTTTTCGGCGGCTTCTCTTGCTTACATCCAAACACAAACTGACGCTAACCATATATGATTTGGAAAGAGGCAACCTTTGCCAACCTAAAACTACGTAACTTGTGATATTTGGTTACGTGAGTCACGAACTAGACGTTAAAAAGTCAACCAACCATTGGTGATACCATATGGTAGCGCTGGGACTTCTCGGGTTAATGATTGCGTTTTTAAGAAATTTGATTCCTTAAAAATAATCGTTGACAATTTTAGTTACTCGGATGGTAAGAGATAACGATTTGATGTCTTCGGAAAAGTTGTAGCACTAGAGGTTCTCTACAACTTTGCTGAAAACACATATTGCTTATCTCTTATCAATTCCGTGAAAAATTAGAAGCCAAAAATTCACGTTTTCGCGGTTTTTCGCATATTTCGAACAGATAAGAGATAAGCAATATGTGTTTTCAACAAAGTTGTAAAACGGGTCAAGTACCACAACTTTGCTCATGAAACGAAGTTAAGGTGTAAACGCAACAAACGATCAGAGGGATAAAAAAAGATTGGAAAAATGAAGAAACGATTATTGTTAAATCCGAGGGGGAAATCACTCTTTGAATTACTTTTCAATTACTTTTCAAAACTATCAAATTACTTTTTCTATTACTTTTTGGCATGCTATTACTTTAGTAAATAACGAAAGTAATTAGACGTTTATGTCAATGTTTGACATTGTCAAACCAATAAACATACGTTTCAAACAACGAACCACTACACTCATATGGAAAAATAGAATTGAAATGGAAAACAATTTCTGGTTCGTTCTTGAAAACGACATTGGTTTTGAAATACCAAAAGATATAAAATTGTGCTTGAAGTAAGTTTTAGTTGAGTATTTCTAAGATATAAAATGAATTCTATACAAATTTCATTTTAGTCATGCCGCATTTGGAAATCCGCTTGCATTTAAAAATATTCAAGATGAAGACCTAAATTATATTGAAACTTCCAACAAATTTGAGTTCAAACGTGGCGATAGAGCTCTTATCAAAGAATTATCAGCATATGTTAAAAATAAAATCAATAATGTTGGTCTTCAACATTTCACTTCAATTTTGAATGCATCCAATGAACAAAGCGAAAAGATTCCTTCCAATGTTTCTAACAGAATGCAGATGTGAGTTGTCGAATTTTATGATAAAGTTAAGGTTTTTTCAAAATACTAAACTCATTGCAATTTGAATGAAATAGGAATACGGAGATTGTTCGAAGATATGAAAAGCCTGTAGAAAGAAACTTGCTTCAAAAATTATTAGACGCAGCGGAACAGAACTCAAAACGCAACAAAGAAGGCTATCGCTACGACAAAGAGGTTCAACTCTTCTCGACATATTTGCGTATGATTGTAGGGCCGCTGGCATATGAAACAATTCACAAGAATTTGCAAGCAGCCATCCCAGCACTTTCATCTACAAACAGATATATAAGTTCATTCAAATGTGACATTGTCGGAGGAATATTGCGGTGTGATGAGCTGCGTGTGTATTTAGAAGCAAGAAAATTACCACTTATAGTGAGTTTATCAGAAGATGCTACTAGAGTTGTGGATAAAGTTCAATACGATAGCACAACCAATCAATTGATTGGTTTTGTGCCACCAATCAATAAAGCAAATGGAATGCCTATTCCGCTGTGCTATCCAGCTCGAAATGCAGATGAAATTCTCAATCATTTTGCAAATGAAAATGCAGTTTCCACATACATTAATGTCGTGATGGCTCAACCGTTAGTTAAAAACACACCACCTTTTTGTTTGCTGATTTTTGGGTCGGACAACACATATTCTTTGAAAAATGTCAAAGATCGATGGACGTACATCACATCAGAGCTGAAAAAAGTGGGCATTGACGTGTTGACATGGGCGTCCGACTCGGAGCCAAGATACAATTCAGCGGGTCGCACACTATCTGGGCTGGGCAACGATAGCAATTATGAATGGTTTTCATGTTCAAGAAGCAAAGTAGTTCCATTCTACATACAAGATTTAATCCACATTGCAACGAAATTAAGAAATTTCCTGCTAAGTTTCCTTTGGAATAATCATGTTTTGCCGTTTGGAAAATATTTTATTTGCTTGAAGCACCTCTATGATCTCATAGAGACTTGCAGTAAAGACTGTCATTTGTTAACCGCTTCTACATTGAATCCAACCGATCGTCAAAATTTTGAATCTGTTCGCCGAATGTGCAGTCCAGAAGTCACTCGAACACTCAAAGAGAAAATAGAAGGTAGCGAAGGTACTGTACAATTTCTTCAAATAATCCGCGATACTATTGATGCTTTTATGGATAATGAGCTAACACCACTGCAGAGAGTCCGCAAATCGTGGTATTCCGTGTTCTTGATTCGGATTTGGCGTGAATTCATTATTTCGAAAAAACAATTCAAATTAAAAGACAACTTCTTGACGATGAATTGCTATTCTTGCATCGAGCTTAATGCTCATAGCCTTGTACTAATTTTGATTCATTTGAAGAAAATTAATCGACCAGATTTATTTTTGCCGAATTACTACGATAGCCAGGCCTGTGAGTCAACTTTTCGTGCACTTCGATCAATGTCAACAGCATATTCGGTCATCACTAATTGTACTGTGAAAGAAGTTCTCTCACGTATAAGTGAAATTCAGCTACAAAACGATATCACACACACTGCTTCAAATTTTGTTTTCCCAAGAATTCAAAAAAATCACAATCTGTACCAAATCATCCACTACCATCGCCGGAAGAAATTTACAATGAGATTGTCTTCTGTAAACGAATGGCAACTGCTGCTGCTTTGAAACTTGGCTTGATCTCTGAACCAAATCCCAAACAAACGTATTTTCAGTGCAAAATTAAACCGCTCTCTTCAACAGTCAACAAGCGAATGATGAAAAAAAAGTCTCATGCCACTGTTCGAACTACTGTGTTCAATTTGCCGGACCTCAAAAACATTCAACTGAAGGACTATGACGGCAAACTGAAGCGAAGTATTATCGATGAAAAAAGTCCATATGCTGAACTCACAAATACTAAAGGGAAACGTGTTATCGTTAAAAAGACATCTCTCTGTTGGCTCTTAAGAAAAGAGAGCCAAAAAATGAGCAGCGATCGATTAATAAGAGTGAAGAGTACAGCAAAAAAAACTTTTTGGAAAACCAGACAGTTCACACGCAAAACAACAGCTACATTGGTTTTGCATCCGTCCAACATCAACAAGAAAAACCAAAACAAGAAACGTTTTCGATCCAACAATTAAATTTTTTTTTACTCCATTTATTTCATGTCTTTACGATTCGATACATTAAATAAAATACTCTAACTTATCACCATGAGATTGTTCCGTTAATTTTTTCAAACTGATTCACAGTAACGAAAATCCAAATAAATACCAATCACTGTATTTTGACCCCATCATATTTTTTGTTTATTATTATTACCCGTCAGCCAAAAATTATAATTCGTTCCAATCATTATATTGTGTAAACAAAGTTTTCAGTCGAGCTCAAACATATATGCACAGCACAGCTCAAAGCGATTCATAACGAACAGCTGATTGCAAGCAATATAAACGGTCGTTGTTATTTTTTATTCAGAAAAGTGCATACATTAACCCGTCGATGATCGCGGTCCGAACATTCGACCAGTTACTTTTTGGGTTTGCGCACGTATTTTACATTATTGGGTTAAAATCTGTTCATTTGTTTAATCAAGAAATCGGTGCATGTGCTTATATCTTCGGCATCGACGTCGATAACGCTGTCATAGTGGTTTCGAATTTCTTTGCCGCTGTTGTCATAATATCCAACTCGATAAGCAATTGCAATTGTTCTTTCATGCATTGAATTTTTATCGGGGTACATTACACACGTTCCTTCTTCGTTGAATGTGACTTCGTATTTTTCACTTACTGCTCGAATACTCTCAAATCCTCCCCATGACTTTCTTTTCTTCTCTCGTGCAAGTACATTGCGAACAAATAATTTGCATTCTGTCACCATATCAGTAATTTCGTTTGCGGATTTCAAATCGTACACACGATCTTTCAGTGTGTGTATGAACCCTTCAAAGTTTTCTGCAGCTAAAATGTATTCGACGACTTCAGTGCGTAACGATTTTGTTGCTTCTTGATGCTCGATGCTGTTGATTGGGTGTTGATGAATTTGGTGGGCCATAGCGCCGAATAAACAGTCTCCATCCGATGCCACTGGAGTGACTGTAACATTAATGATATTTCCGTCAAACTGGGAAATCATTCGACCCATCTCGTCACCATTTGAATAGGATGACGTCACCATGTTTGCTATTTGACTGGCTAGTTGTTTATAAAGCCAGTCTGGTTCGACATTTACTAAATCAATATTTTCAGCAAAAGACTTCTCACTGAAAATTTCAATTACTGACTCTTCTTTGACAAGCGTTTCATTCTTTATCTTTCGACTTGATGCGGCATTCGTGCTAAATCCATGTGCCTTTTTCAAATGCTTAGTGAAATTCGACAATACCCAATTGTCACCGACCTCCTGATAAAATACGCGCTTCTTAGGATTTTTATTTTGATCCATACCTTGGCAAATCACGCATGTGACATTTCCATGAATTTGTGAACCATCCGTTGACGTCTGCACTTCCACAATAGTTGAATCCAACGCCTCTACTTTCGATTCCGCTAGATTCCATGCAAATCTTAACTTTTTCAAAAAGCTTATCTCTCAATAACGTTGCAGTGTTTGCGTCAATGTTGCGTTTTGTTTCTTCGCCAATGTGATGGTTTGCATGAACATTTTTCACCTTTCTCCTTTTATTTTGCTTATACTTGAATCGGTGTAGTCCCGTATTCTCGCCATTGCCATCGACTACTTTTTTCACATGCGCCACTAGTTCTTTGATCAATGACAGCTCACCCGGTTCGAAATGAAATTCACTTGGATTGGCCGCAAATTTA